GCGGGAGACTTGTAGAAATCTATTTTTTACATTTTATTGGAAAATTAAAAATATCAATTTTAAAATAACTTTGAAGTAATCTGTTTACAAAATAGATAAAAATGATAAAAATAAAATAATTTTAAAGAAAAAGACAAAATACTTTATTAAACAATTTATTATCAGTACAAAATTTTTCATTGTTTCAAATAACTGTTATACACTAAATTGTGTTCCTTAGATATTTTTTTGTCAAGAATCTTTTAATCCGTGTATAAGAATACAACGTATTTTGAGACGAAAGTGGATAACAGTGTATCACATGCTCAACATTTTAGACGAATAATTAATTACTATATGAAAATCTTTTTTTTTACGCTTGTATGCGTATAAAAGTCGATAATAATATCAACAACTTTGAGGATTTCCATTAATGTGAAATTCTTTTGTGACATTATTGCGATATCGATCTCATCAGCGTTATCTTAGAAACTGCTTACTATTCCACACATTAGAAATTGCATGCAAAAATTTGTTTTTATCAAGGCTGATAAAACTGACGCATTATTAATTAGACAAGGCATTTGACTCCGTAAAAAGTCATATACGAAATGCTTCTAAGTTACATTTGTAAACAGTCGTATATATAGTTTGTATAAAACAAATATTTATTGTGCCAATGTTTTCTATTAACTTGATATTATTAAGTCAAGTAAACATCTGAGAAAAAAAAAAAAGAAAGTATGAAGTAGGAAATTTTAAACAATATATACAACAGAACATTTTGTTCTTCAGCATAATCAAGTTCGTGAAAAAAATATTGCTTCATAGATAAAAATACATTGGCGTCCAGAGGCTATATATGAACTGAATCAGAGCTACGAGATAATGCTATATTATGCTTACAATTAAAAAAAATAAAAACACAATATAAAGCGTGTTTCGCTGCCATTCATAATGGAAGATTTGCTTGGCCTTCGGTCAGCATAATAACCGAGGACCAACCTAGCTTATATTTTTTACCAATGTTTGAAATAGCATTTAATAGACACGATTATTAAAAATTGTAATCTTTCATTGTAGTTAGACTGTCCCGTCATATAATAAATGGAATAAAACATTAATATCGTCTTACATAATTCCCACAATATTACACAACTTTCAAGTATTTTTGAAGTTTCCATTGAAAATGAATTTTTTATCATTATTGTTATATGATAAAAGATTCGTCGAAAAATTGATTCTCTCTCTCATATTCATTCAAAATTAATAGAAATGGAACATAAATAATTAATAATTTAATAATTTAATACATATACTTGAAACCGCGGTATTTAATTTACAACATACTCTTTACAGCAAGTATTATTTAACAGTAAGAGTACATATTTCATTTTCTATATTTATAACAATCTAGCATATTGTTAGAAAGCATTTAATGAATTGGAACAGTTGGTGGGTCCGGAATAGGCTCGAACTCGCCAACACTCTCCATATATTGAACATCTTTACGATACGGTTTCAATTCCCAGTGCATTCGTGATTCCATCGATGTTAGTGCAATGCCAAGATCTTCTAGTGTTGGCAATTTATTTGATACTACGTCAGATATAGCTTCCTGCAAAATGCAATGTCAAATTTAATAATATTGTTTATCATGTAATTCTAATTTTATTAGAATTTACGCATTCTGTCATAGGAAAATTAAAATATATACCCTTTCCAAACATTCCCACTGTAAATTTCCGAATGGATACGCAGGACTTAAGTATTCGTTCAAAGTAACTTTAAGTTGGAAAAATGGAGCATATTTTAAGTGCATCCTTTTGTAGCCATCCTGGACTGGATCGCGTATCCGTATTCGATGGAACCAATCAAGTAATTCAGACAGTTTATAACGTTTCGGCCTAAGCAAACAAAATATTCACATTTTGCAAAAACAATTATGACAGCGATAAATTTGTACAAGTATACTCGTTCATACCCAACAAACTGATAAGTTTTGCCAGCTGTATTTCTAGGATCTCTTGCAATAGCCGTAATACCTCCGGAGACATCATATACAGCTACTGGCTGTTTTTCCGTCTTTTCACCTTTTTCCCATAATGGTACAGTCCTATAAACAAATTGCATTGTCAAAAATCATAAGAATATAATTTTTTTATAATATAATTTTTAATATACTAGAAAATTTATTCCTATGCAAAATTACCTGAAATGATGTCTCAATATGCCAGAATAAAAACTTAAAAATCGATCTTCTTGACCCCATATATCTGCTGGCCGAATAATTGTAGCCTCAGGAAACTCTTCTCGCACTGCACATTCGCCTTCCCATTTTGTACGAAGAAATTCAGAACCGCCTTTCAATACATGTGACTTAATGCAGAAATATTATTAAAGTATGAAATTATTAAATCATAAATTAATATAGAATAGAAATGTGATTAAAAACTCACCTCCACATCATCACCCACATTTAACGCAGACACATGAATAAAGTGCTTAACATTAGCTTCCTTGCACAGTCTAGCGAGTCTTCTGGCTCCCTCAACATGCACCTCATGAAAAGTAAAGTTTTTAGTTTCCCAATCTCGTCCAATTAGATTGATAACGACATTGGAATACTTGATACATTTTCTTATCGATTCATCATCACGTAGATGAAATGGATGAAACAAGATTTGTCCCAAATCTCCACAGAGTTTCAGACGCAAGCAATCATATGCATCACCTCTGTATGGTATTATTAACTGTAAATCAAACATGAAAATCAAACAACTGATTATATTATGTTTCAGTTATATTATTATATTGCAATCGAAATTGCTGTCACTATAGAAATTGCTATTGTCAGCTTCCTTTATTTTGTATGTACCTGAGTACCAATCTTGCCAAGGCGATTACACACATAGCGTCCAACAAATCCACTTGCACCAAATAGCGTGCATACTATTCCATTGAAGGAACTACGGCCACCTGTGCCTCTCTTTAAAGAAGCTGTAGTAGGATCTTTGATGATTTCTGGTTGGGACGAGTAATGATTTATCTGCACTGCAACAGCCGCGATGCATGTTGTTTGCTTTCCTGAAATATATACAAAACAAATATAAAATAAATTCTGTTTGATTACATAATTACACAAACCGCTATCTGTCACACAATGTGTACATAAAAGAATTACAGGCAATTTTATGTAAAACATTATATATTGTACTTCGATTTTGGAAAAGAAGCTAAATATTACAAAAGATGTAAAAAAATATGACAATCTTACTTGCTGCTAGAGTATACCTCGGAATCAAGGCGGCCATCTTTTTCGGCCATCCATATGGATTGTGCATTGTGTAGATTGTGCCACTGTGCGTGTGGACTATAAAATTCTTTGACGCATAGTCGATTGACAAAAACCAACTTTTTGATATAATATATATATAT